AGCCTTCACCACCAGCTGTGCTGGCTGGGGTTTCTGGGAGTTGCAGTTCAAAAACACCTGAGTAACACAAGGTTAAGAACCACTGCAATAGATAACTACTGGAGTCTGTGTTTGGCAGTGTAACTGTAACGAAGGCCTTTTAAAAAGTAACTTTCCAAGCTCTGAATGACAATGGGACACACTAGTGAAGTGCGTTGTGCTTCAAACTGATGCCCAATTGGAAAAAATAACAGCAAAATAGGGCCACCTTTGAGTGCCGGATGCTGTTTGATTAGAAATGTTCATCAAGGCCTGCTGAATAGATAAGCATTGATGATTTTCATCTCCCATTCTCTTGCTTCTGAGAATTTGGTCAGGTCCACTCCAAAACAGTGGAAAAAGCAGCCTCTCCTGCTGTTCCAACTATCTCATCCTTCGTTATTTGTTACAATTGAATCCCTGCCTTTCACTAAGGAGCTTGTTCACATCGTTCTTATCTCTTCCTCACAACCGTCCTGTGAGGTAGACTTGAGAAGGCAGCCTTTTCCTCAAGACGATGACATTAGTCTTATGGCTGAGTGGAGATTGTGTCCTAGTCTGACCCCCCGGACCATTTCAAGCCAGGCTGAGCACTCCACCTCCGTGGCTGTCGTCTGGGTCAGTTGCCTTCGATCAAGAGCGGGAGAAGGGCTGCTGACCCCTGGACCCTCGGGCAGCACTCAGCACCCCTCCTCCCTTGGATGCAGCTCCCTAGGGATCTCCAGTCCCCACCCACCACCCAGAAAAAAAGGGTTCTGAAATTGTGAGTGGTGCCTGCTAGGGGCTTTTGTGGGAACACAGTTTGAGGCTTTGGAGCAGTTCTCAGGATGTTGCAGAGCAGGAGAGTTAGAAGGGATGCAGCTCTCCAAGCCCTGACAGAGGGGAAGTGGCCCTTGATCCTTGGAAGTTGCCCAGTCCTCTTTTTTAATGGTCTCCACACACATGTTGTCCCATTGCCATTGAGGTGCAAATACTTTAGGTGTACAGAGATTGGCCGACCTGCACATCTTCTTTTGATGGAGGCAAAAGTGGAATGACTCTGGGCAAGGACAAGACCTCTGTTGTACCATCTTCAGCAGTAAACAAAGGATTGCTTTTCTGTAGCATCAGCAGTTTCTGTTGCTCTATAAGAACGGCTGGATAGCTCCAGGGTTTTGGTTTCTGGCTGCAGAACTAGAGGTTGAGCGATTCCCCTCTGTGACTCCTTGACAGGGTCTGGACTCGATGATCCATACGGTCCCTTCCAGTTCTATGATTCACTTTTCTTCAGGAATTCAAGGCCATGTGGTTTCAGAGCTTGGAAAAGTTCCATTTATGGACTGCATCCCATATCTGGAGGACTCTGGTGGCTGTATTTATAAAAAGAGGGCTGAGCAGGGCTGTTAATGATAGGACTTCTAATTCACAGGTAAAGGTAAAGGTTCCCCTTGACATTTAGTCCAGTTGTGTCTGACTCTAGGGAGAGGTGCTCATCCCCATCTCCAAGCCGTAGAGCCAGCGTTTGTCCAAAGACACTTTCCATGGTCACGTGGCCAGCACGACTAGACACAACAGCATTACCTTCCCACCAAGGTGGTACCTATTTATCTACTCACATTTTTATATGCTTTTGAACTGCTAGGTTGGCAGGAGCTGGGACAAGGGACAGGAGCTCACTCTGTCACGTGGATTCAATCTTACGACTGGTGGTCTTCTGACCTTGCAGCACAGACTTCTGCGGTTTAACCAGCAGTGCCACCATATCCATGCCTAATTCATAGGTTGCCATTAATCCAAAGTGACTTAACAGTACACAGCTACTAAAAAACCCAGCTATTCCAAACTCTGCTTCACTGCTGCCCATCCCCACCCCACCTTTAAAAAAAATCCTAACAGTAACCTTAAAACACTGTTTATTCTAACAGCAGTTTGCCCCAATCTATATATTGCAAATGAGCTTGCTTTTGTTTTTCAGAGATCACCGGGGGGGGGAAGTGAAACGGAGGCTTATTTTGCATGTCTTCTATCTCAGGCACAAAGCTTTGAATGATTTGCATGCCTGCGAAGGAAACATTGCAAAGAACAACAAAAAGTGTATATTTCCCCGTGATGTTGCGTCCTAGTACCGCACACAATTCACAGGCGCACCCCTGCAGACTTTTCACCTGACCTTCACGTTCCATGGTGCCACTGCTGTACTGGGCTTACAAGGATGTCTAATGTTCCCCAACAGGATTGGTATTATCGGAGCGCCACGAAACAAATTCATCCCTCACACGCTCTTGCCTCTTGGGACCCAAGAGGACGAAGAGGAAGACACAGAAAGCCTGCAAACCAGGACAAGCACCACATCCATTATTTCCCGAGAACTGACCAGTGCCCTGAGGAGCGCTCAGAGCAGTGGAAGCCGCCAGTCTGTGGTGATTTCAAGGACTACCACAGAAGCAGATTACTCCGAGAACCTCTAGTAGAGTTCATAGGCTACCATTAGGGCTACCTAATGATAGCCTTTTCTATATATTCAATAAATCTCTTTCAACCTTCTGTGGGTCGATGTTCAGATGTTATCCCTTATTTCTCAAGTCTGAGGGAGAATATGGCGCATCTGATAGGAAAAGTAAATACGTTTGATGGCCCCTTAAAACATAATTTGTAACAGCTTTTGCTTTAAGAAATGGCTCATGATTAGAGATGGTTCATCATGAACCATGAATTTCTCCACCGTGAATCAATGAACCCCAAATTAGTTTGTCAGTTGTTTTTGTTTTTAAGACTGCCCATGAAAGGACAGTGGGGAGAGTGATTCCCTTTGGGTGGACAGGCTTTGGCAGGTTTGCTTCCCCTCTCTGTCTATGCCTTTGCTGATCCACGGGGGTATACGCAGAGAGGGAGGGACAAATGGATGAATATAAAAGGGGTATATTTGCCCCTTCATATTCATCGTGGTCTGTGGAAATGACAAATACTAAGGGATGAATATCGGACAAGTCAGCAATATTTAAAAAATATTGCAATTAATTTTTATATTAGTCCCAATATCCAAGATATTTAGCCAAGAACATGCTTTCTTAGATTCTGAGGTAAAAACTTGCTGGAAAAGCTGTTAACAGCCGATCAGAAGGAAGTGTTATCTAGTTCTTTCAAGACAGGAATAGTGCAAGTTGGTTAGGTCAATATTCAGTACAAATTACCCATGTGTACAAGGAAACTGCAAAGGTGGCTAAGGCTATGGGTGAGGTCCAGTCACATACGATTTATTTGTTGTGTCCAGGGAGATTAAAATGAAAATTAATTAATAGAATTTGTTTTATCTACAATAGTACAAAACAATTGTAAAGATAGATGTAGACATCAAACTTCATATTGGTTGTATTCCACCAGATAATTATTACCTCTTGAAGCAGTTTATGACTGTAATATATATACTTCTATAACAATAATTATGTAGTGGCAAGTCATTTGTGACTTATGCTGACACTCCCAAGGTTTTCTAAGTAGAAAGTACTCAGAGCAGTTTACCAATTCTATCTTCTGGTGTTGCATTAGGATCATGTATTTTGCCTAAGGCTGCACAGGCGTCAGGGCACAAAATATAATTAGCCATACATGTGCTGGGTAACCTTGGATGGCTTCTCTTTTAGGAGGCCCAGTGGGGATTTGAAGTCTCAGCCCATCACTCTGAAGCCAGGTGCTCCAACTAACTGAGTCATCATACCATATATACCCCTATATAGTATTTGTTGACTGGCCAGTCTTCTATAATATGTAATTTTTTAAATTGCAATTTTGTCACTCCTTATGAAGGAAAAAAAATTCAGGAAGGCTAATGAACACAACTCAAAACACTTTAGAACAATGGAACCATTAAAATCATTATTTTAAAAAAAGTTTAAATAGGTACATTGGAAAGGTGGGTCTTCAAATGCCTCTTATAAGCAGGGAAAGTAGCAACGAATCATACTTTCAAGAGAAGTACATTCCACAATAGAGAGGCTCTTCCTATGTGCCCATCAGGTGGACCTTCACCGTAAGGACATATTCAAGAGAGCTTTTCTTGAAGATCTTTGCAACTGGTCAGATTCATCACAAGGTAGTTCCTCAGAAGACCATATTCAAGTCCTTAGGTCTTTAAAATGTAAAAAAGAGAACTTTAAATTGGCCCCAGAGAAAAAGCACAAGTCACTACAGATCTTACAAAATTAGATGTGATTTCAGTATCAAGCATCAGTTAACAACCTAGTAGCAATCTAGTAGCTACCTCATTGTACATAAGCTTAAGCATAGTTCCATATAGTTCATTACTCTAGCAGGCATGATGTAATGTGAGCATTTTAGTATAAAATGGAAAGTACTAAAGATGGGGTAAGTGACATCTTTATATGACAGGTGTTCCAAAACTGTGGTGCTGTAACAGGAAAGTCTCTAGCCTGTTTCCTCAATGTACAAACTCTTCTAAAAGCGCTGATGCTTGTTACGCTTCAAGTGACTTTGATGGATCAGTGAAATTCTTGCTTCACAGGTCTTGGGTACCTCTCAGTTTTGGGAGTGCACTGAGCAGCTAACACATTGTCTTGGACACAATGTTTTGCCTGCAATTTCAGTGTGCCCTGTTGACCTGTAAAGACACATTGGCCAGAATCCTACTGGCTATTTACACCAGTGTTAAGTACAGTAGTGTAACTGCAGTAACAAATTGCCACTAAGGGATTACAGTGATGCCTCGCAAGATGAAAATAATTCGTTCCGCAAGTCGTTTCGTATTGTGAAAATTTTGTATTGCAAAAATTTTGTCTTGCATGGTTTCCCATAGGAATGCATTGAAATTTAATTAATGTGTTCCTATTCATCTTGCGAAGCATGGCCATAGAAAAATTAGTCTTATGAGTCACCAAAAAAATTGCAAAATGCTTTCGTTTTGCGAGTTTCTCGTTGCGCAAGGCATTCGTCTTGCGAGGCATCACTGTACAAAGATGGGCATGAACTACTGGTGTTCAGTGGTTTGTGCTGCTCAATTTAGTGCATCCAAAAAAGTGGTTTGGTGCTTCCCAGCCCCACCACCCTCTGGCGGGCACTCACTGTGTGGGCACCCACTAGAGGAGGTGGGCCTGGGAAGTGCCAGACTCCTGTTTGGCCGATAAACAAACCGACATGAACCACTGAATTGGCTGTGCTCATCTCTAATGTGTATTCTTCATCCTGCGCCACCCTGCAAATTACACCATTGCACTTAACACTGGCATAACTACCTAATAGGAGAGTGGCCATTTCTACGTGGTTCTACCTATCTCCTCATTTTACATGCTCTCACATGATGCTATCTGATAGCATTCCTACAGATGGTACTCCAGGGAGCGAACCGAGAATGTCAAGGTCAGAATTTGGCATCTCAGTTATGGAGCTTCCAGGAGTCCCTGGGTCAGAGCCCTTTCCAAGAACACATGCAAAGGAATGTGCCCGTTGCCCCAATGACTGCCAGCCAGAGTGACAAAGCAGATGGACTGGGCCTTGCGAATGCCAAAATCCTGTCTTTCCACCTTTGCCTGGTTAAAAGAGCAGCAAGTCAAAACGCTTTTCCAAAGTATGAGCCACTGGGGCTGTTGGCTGAGAATTCTGGGAGTTGTTGCTGAAAAATCTCTGCAAGGGAGCAGAGCGCATGAGCTACACCTGTTAGAAATGCCACCTTTCCCCCTGGAAATGAGCCTCAAAGTGCCTCCTGACCAAAAACAAAGCAAAAAAAAACAAACGTGCTAAAAACAGAAAAATGTAATAACAAATGATAAGTCATAGTCTTAGGACACGATGAAACAAATTATAGCTTTAAAATGCTTATTAAATTAAAAACCCGCAATCAAAGATGGGTAGCTGCTGCACAGCCCAAGGAGAGTTTGATTCCTCACTAGCCTGTGTAGCCTTGGGCAAGCTGCATAGTCCCACCAGTACAAAAAGGCACAGGAAACCACTCCCAGGAATTATATGCCTAGAAAACCTTGGAAAAGGTCGCCATAAGTCAGAATTTGACTTGTGGCATATAATTATTATTTATTTATTATGAGTAAAAGGGTAGACAAGGGGGCAGAAAAAGAGAGAGAGAGGTGAGCATGTCCAAAAGACATATAGCTCTTTATATCAACGGTTTGGTGCTCTTTGGTGTGAATCAAATTATGGCATCCACACATTTGACTTGGAGTAGAGATGGGATGTTCGTATTTGTCTCGAGGGGGAAACAAATAAGAATATTGCCACCACAGGTGGCCGGGCCGATGGCTGTTCCACTTATTGCTTGTGATGCGTAGCCGTCATCGTTCATGCCATGCCAATTGCAGAAGTAGCACAACCGGCATGTCCGTGTCTCCCTGCGCTGCTGACCAGTCTGGCGAAGAGGCAGGATGATGAGTCTCACTGCTCAGCTGCTGAGGGGTCCATACAGTGCAAGGAAGTGGGTTACTTTCGTGATGGGTGCAGTACGAATGACAGTGGCCACATGGGCTACGCAGCAAGCGGGAAGTGGATGGCTCGGTTCTCGGGGGGTGGTGGTGGTTGGGTCCAAAGAGTCTGGCCACCTGTGGTGGTGATATTTGTTTTAGTCTCCCCTGAACAAATTTGTCTCCCATCTCTAAGTCAGAAATGTGTGGATGCCGTAATTTGATTCAAACCAAAGAGCCCACCAAATGATGTATATAGACAGCTATAGGTCTGTCTGGATGTGCCCACCTCTCTCTTTTTCTGCCACCTGGTGTTCCCTACCTTTCTCCTTTGCCCTCTCCATTCAGGTTGCCAGAGGAGGGACAGAGTCTCTCTGCAGAGATCTGAACTGTCTACTTGGTGACAGTATTTGAAGTTAGGCCAAGCACTGCCCAAAATTAGGCTGAGTGTCAGATGTGGCCCTTGAGGTTGCCCACTCGTGCCCCACAGGTTGAGATCAGGGTTACGGGAAAACCTGTGAATGAGGCTTCAAATGCTGGAGAGAGAGAAAGAAAGAGAGAGAGAGAGAGAGAAGGAAAACCTGATTATTAACTGGGCAGGCAGTGCTGATGCTCCTCCAACATGAGATGGTGGTTTTGACGGGCGTGTCACTGGCAACAGCACAAGTATTTCTGCACACCAGTCCTGTCTATTTGCATGCCATTTCCTCTTCTTTTGGCTTGTGCCAAGGTGTAGGAGGAAATGAGTATGGAAGACAATGGGAAGCACACTTTTAGCACGGAGCATCAGAAGAAACAGTACAAAACCATGTTCTAAGAAGGGGAGGCCCCCACACCATAGTGTGGCAGTGTAACAGACTCTTCCCCCTCCCCCACTTGAGCTACAGATCATCAGAAATAAAAACAAGTACTTCACAATCATTTTTTTCTCATAGATGTAGATGCGATTGGGTGAAAACAGGCATTTCAGATAGCGCGTCACAAGGAATCTCCTCTTCTAAACTGCTGAAAGCTTCTGATGGTTACAATGGAGCTGTACTCATCTCACAGAAATTAGAAATTCCTTTGACTTTGGCAAATTCTCCTTTAGGACTTAAGGACAGAATTCCTCCAAAGTCTGATT